TAATATTGCTCCTTGAATTACGAAGTACATGATAGAGTATATATAGAAGAGATTCCTAACACAACTAGAAATAGAGAATAGAGACTAACAAAAATACAACATATACTACAAATAACATTAGGAAGCTGACTAATAATGAAACACTACCATAACCAATACTACCAGAAGTAATATTAGTATTATTGTCTAACACTTTACATAGGCTAAAATTCGGGTAAAATGAGATAGGACATTGATTTATGTGAGAGAAGAAACACTCATAAATAGTGAAAATAATCATTGAAAATATAAAATAGCATATAAAATTTAAAACCATTAAGACTAGGGACATGGGACTTCCATAAACCAGTATGTAATAATTAGAAAAGAAAACTTGAGACACAGCTTGATAAATAAAATGGAAAATGAGTATGTTTGCCCAATTGACACACGTGACAAAAATTGTGCATTAGGATTGTAATTAAAGACAATAAAACATGACTGACTACTCCAAGGATGACAGTGGGGCTAGGATGACCAAGGAGACAATGCCAAGTCTGTGAATCAACTCTGGAAACTTGAACATGGGTGGATGGATCCGATGGGAATAGTGGATATAGAGGGCCATCATTATTGGATCGATGAATCACAACTCTCATCTAATTGTCCTTCACAAAGAAACCCGATGAATCAAATTCAATGGATTAGTTATTATCACATGTAAGTTTACAAACAAAGATAAGGTTATGTATGATATTGGCAGATATATGGACATTATTTAGGGAGAGGGAGGATTGGTATTAAAATTATCATTTTATCTAATTAAAATATAATATACTCGCTCCATTCTCATTTTGATTACACTTTTATTTGACTAAATTACATAATTGATCCTTTATAACAGGGGAGGTTTCTATATTTAGTCCTCTGTTGTCAAATATTACTTCCGTAGTCCTTTTATGGGTGCCTTTTTACAAATGGCCCGTTTTTAATCTTCTGTCATGTTGGTGTTAATTTAAAAGCTAAAAATATAATTTGACATCAACCTTATATCCAATGATGTATTCTAATATTGGATAGAGGAATAACAAAAAAAATAATGACTATGATTGTGAGCTATGATTCCAATGAAAGACCACATTGTAGAGTATAATTGTAGTAGAAAACAACTGTAATTTACAAACGACGCATCATGAGCGGTCTTTGAAATTGTGTATGACAAGAAAGATATATTATCATTGTGAAATTATACTTTTAGCCCACAAATGATCGAACACCAAGATGAATGAAAATAAAAAACTATATGTGGAAAGATAATCATAAAAGAACGACCACCGAGGTAATATTTAATAATAGAAGACTCTAAAAAGGGAAACTCACCTACTATAAAGGACCAATTATAGAATAACTTTTGTTTATTTGTGTGTTTACATTGATTATTTGATAAAATAAAATATTCTTGTCAGGTCTTGTTTTGTACTCCCTCCGTCCCAAAAAGAATGGGACGGTTTGACTTTTTGGGAAATTAAAGGAGAGATATTTTTTGGTATTGACTTTTCAAAAATACTCTTGATGTGATGGGTAAAAGTAGGATGTGATGGGTAGATTATTAGAAAAAAGGTATGATGTTGATGGGTATATCCCTATACCCGGCCCGGATAACTGAAAGGGACATGTCAAAATATGACCGGTCACTTTCATCAATCACCAAATGAGGTTAACTCTTCGATTGGGACGGGTCAAAAGTTGACCGGTCACTTCCCTTAAAAAAGTGACCGGTCACATTTTAGGCGATAGCCAAAATATCACCTAATGTTACGAAGGATATTCCGGAAGACCAAAGAGACTGGTTGAGCTCAAGAAATGACCGGGTAACCTCTGAGAAAAGGTGACCGGTCATATCACATTACTTGGCTAACATTGGTCCAGTCTCTCAGGCATGGCGAACCACATCAAAGACCGAGGGACCACCCCGCCGCTCATCCATCAAGAGGCAAACAGTGAAAGGGATGTTTGTCTTCTTGCAGGGCTGATTGGATTGAGAATATCCATTTATAGTCTTTGATTGAACAGTGTCTTGGCTTGTAGCTATTAAAATCAATGATTGTACAATGTTCCCATTAACTACAGTGACCTCCCACGAGCTTCCTATTTTGTCCATGGATGAACAGGGGAAGGTCACAACTCCTCCTCTATAAATATGATGATATTGGATAGAGGAGAGGGGGATTCTTTCTCTCACTAAAAAAGTGCACTTTTGAGATAGAGTAAGAAATATAATTCGGACTGAGGAGATTTGCCCGGTCTAGGTCATACTTGGTGTTCTTGTTGTGTATTTTATATTACGGGTCAAGTGTCCACGTCAGACCCGGTCAACCCACCCAGCTATATTTACACCATCAGATGTGATAGGTAGGGTATGAAAAAGTAAGGGATAAAGTGATTTTTTAATAGAAATGTAACGGACTTTACGGGACACAGTTTTTTCTAAACGTAACAAAATTTTTGGGACGGAGGGAGTAATACTTTGGATGTAGTTTTTTAATTTGTAATTTTTATTTCTTATTGATGTACCAATTTGTAAATAAAATGATTTAAAAAATCGTGGGATATTACCTCGTAATCGTCATTTTGTAATCAAAATAGGAACAAAGAGAATATATTTTATTTAATCAGAGTATTTGTAATCAAAACATGAGAAATACTTCGAGACCCAAATAGTACTCCCTCCGTCCCAAAAAGTCTTTCCTATTTCATTATTTGCGCACCCCATAAAACACTTCTATCCCGGCTTGAATGCCAAAAAAACCTTTAAAATAACTTCTACCGATAATAAAGAAGAAATGTTGTAAATTTTAAGCATTTAGATGTTGGTAGAAGTATTTTATAGTATGCGCAAAAAATGAAACAGGAAAAACTGTTTGGGAGGGAGGGAGTATTTGTGTAGTGCTACTAAAAAGTACTTGTAATTAATAATCAATTCATTAAACATTGTTGTCTTCAGGAAAAAAAAGAGAAAACTATACTTACAAATTAACTATATATGCCAGGGGAAATTCTACGCCAACCTGTTTTGCTTTAAACGATCTTACATTTTACTTTGAGTGAGACATAGAACCACTTAAAACACCTGAGATTCACTACCACATAACTTCCCTTATGGCTTTTTTTTTTTGAATTTTAGTTATATTAAAAGTTGAATAAATATAAATTTATAACCTATTTAGATTTATTCAACTTTTGATATATATCACAAAAATCATAATGATCAGTTTTCAACATGCGTAGAACTCCACCAACTCATCCAGACACTCGGGCTGCGGGTCCGCATTCTCGAGCATCCAGAGGAGATGCTCGAAGAGCACGACCTCGCACCCGACCGTGATGGGACCGTCGCCCGAACCATCACCGGACCGGTCCACGAGCTCGCGGACGAGCGGGTGCCCGACGACGTCGGGGCCCACGAGGTATCTCCGGCGAGACTTCCCGACGTAGACTGGACGGAGGAGACTCGAGTCGCCGCCGCCGACGCCGCCACCGCCGCCGGCGTCGGAGAAACTGTTGTGGTTGTAGTTATTAGTCTCCACTTCGTCGCCGCAAGAGCAGCTGGCGGCAGCGACGGAAGCGGCGGAGGTTCCGTTGGGGCGGCCGAGTTTGAAGGACTGCATTTTCTTCAGCACGGATTTGAGCTTAGTGAGCTTTCCTCCTTTAGCCATGGCGGACGGAGAGAGATGAAGGAGTGAGAGAGAGAGGGGGTGGGTGGGGGTTGGATATATGGTTTGGACGTTGGTATATATAGGGAGAAAGTGGGAGGGGTAATTTGGTAAAAAGGTTGGCATCGGAAATCAGTTACGTTTTTTCGCAGTTAAAATTAAAAAAAGGGTAAAAAGAAAAGGCAAGCTGTCCAAATTGAGTCAGAATAGAAAAACCAGCTGCGTTTCGGCCTTTTATGGGCTATGTATTTACTGGCTCACAGTCACACGGCCCTGCTTTTTGTTTTCCAATGCCGTAATTCAAATTCTCCCTATTTAAATATGGTATAAATATCATTGGCTTCATTCTACACTAAAGGAAAAAAAATTAAATGTTCACAAATTAAAAGAGTGTTAGATCGTTAATTTCTCGAGTATATATATATATATATATATGGAAAATGCTAGAATCACAAACATATATTTCACAAATTTCACAAATTTTACAAATTTTCCTTTTGTGAATTTTAAAATAAAATATCTTTTATTATTTGAGTGCATCTTATTTCTAGAAAAGTGTTAAAAAGGTAAGTTTGTGAATTTTGTGAAATGTTTGTTTGTGAATCTAGCATTACTCTATATATATATACTCCCCCGTCCCAAATTATTTGCCACATTTGTATTTCCAAGGTAAAATATCAATTCAATTCATTTTATTTACATATTGGTAAATAAATAAAAAATAAAATTTCCATATAAAAAACAACATGAAAAGTTCTTCAAAATAAGATGTGTCAAGAATATTTTATTTTATTAAATAATCAATGAAAACATTAAAATAAACTAAAGTTCCCGACACTGCTGAAAAAGTAAATGTTGTGAATATTTAGAAACGGAGAGAATATATATATATATATATATATATATATATATATATATATATATATATATATATATATATATATATATATATATTGAAAAGAAGAACTTTTATTTAAAAAAATGACAATATCAGTACACGTCTGAGGAGGACTAGACCGTAGCCTCAGAGGTCAAAAGAAAAAAAAAGACATATCCAGCTAATGTAAACAGAAAAGGGATGAGGATGCTCAGGATTCAAATTTTCATCATCCTTGATCAGGCCCATCTTTAACCGCTTCTTTCCTCACCTAAAATTCTTCCTCAACCTCCACATGATTGTGTTGTGGATCACCGTCTTCTTCTTCTTCCCGCTTTCCATCCGCCAATTGTACATGTGTATACCGTGATTCATCTCTGAAGCTATGGAGCTGATATCTGTTGAGGTAAATTGTTTGAAATCCCAACTCAAAAAGTTCAGAGTCTTTGTTCATCTACCTCTTATCTCGGTTGTTCCAACACCAATTTTGGATAGTGGTTTTGATATTGTGGAGGACTTTTGTCACTGAGGGTTGCTCCTCGTTGTAGAGTGCAGCATTATAGGTTTTCCAAAGATGCCAGGCAATGATTCCGGCTATAACCATTTTGAGATTACCCCTTATAGTCTTGCTAGAAGACCTGAGATTCCACTCTAGAATATGTTGTCGTAGACTGATTCCATCTCTTTTGCAGGGACCTTGAAGCAAGATAGTAAAAAAATTCCAGATTCTAGAGCTGAAATGGCAGTGCAGGAGGGTGTGGTTTGTGCTTGTTTCATGGTTCTTGCAGAGTGGACATTGTGAAGGTAGCTGGTACCCGAGCTTCCTAAGGAGTTGTGGAAAAGGTAGGATTTCATTAAATACTTTCCATTGGAAAACCCTAATTTGCGGGATCTGTAGCTTGTGCCAAGCAAATTTGTAGCTGATTTGGGTGTTTCCAGTATCTCTAACGACATTGTACCCTTTCTTTAAAGTGAACTCTCCATCTTCCCATGATAGGATGCCATTAGTGGAAAAGGAGTGTTCATCTGCCAAATTGGCAATTCTGCATATTCTCTTCCAGGTTGGTG